AAGGTTTGAAGGCCTATGTTACAAATGTGATGAGAGGTATAGTCCCAGTCACGTTTGTAAACAGAGGGAGGTTAATGTATTGGTGGTGTAGGAAGTGGAAAATGAACAAGCGACACAAGATGCTGAAATAGAGGACGGGGAACTAGAGTCTGATACAAGAAAAGTACCACAAAAGGTGGAAGTACACCTGAACTCTGTGGTGGGTATAACTGGCCTGAGGACTATGAAGTTGGCAAGCACCATCAATGACCAACTGATTGTGGTACTCATCGACAACGGGGCTACACACAACTTTGTCTCGAAGATAGAGAGTTTGGGGTTGGTAGTTACAGGCACGAAGAGCTATGGGATAACAATAGTTACGGGTGGCACAGTTAAAGGGGAAGGAATTTGTAAGGGAGTTAAGGTGAGCCTACAAGGGGTAGAGGTTGTTGAGGAATTCCTCCCGATTCACTGGGAAATTCTGGCATCATCCTAGGTGTCCAGTGACTTGAAACATTTGGGGCCACATACACCAACCGGAAAACACAAACTATGAAATTCAAAAGGGGCAAGGCAATAGTGGTGCTTAAGGGGGACCCATCATTAGGCCGCACTTTGGTATCTCTAAAGGCACTTGAGAAAATCTTCAGGCAAGAAAGATAAGGGTTTCTCGTTGAGTTGGGGGTATTTACCTCATTTGACCAAGGGGAAAAAGATCACCTGACAGAATTGAAGGGGGTGCTTGCTGCATTTTAGGGGGTATTCTAGATGCCGATCGGGCTACCGCCAATGCGCAGGAAGGAACACTAAATCATATTACGGGATGGGGTTGGACTCGTGAACGTGAGGCCATATAGGTACCCCCACTACCAACGAAAGACTTATTAAATAAATGTTGGCAGCCGGGATCATCCAACCCAACAATAGCCCATTCTCGATCCCGGTACTTTTAGTCAAGAAAAAATACGGAAGTCGGAAGTTCTGTGTGGACTACCGAGCCTTGAACAAGCAAACTGTATCCGACAAATTCCCCATACCCGTAATAGACAAACTGTTGGACAACCCTCATAGTGCCATGATTTTTTCTAAGTTGGACTTAAAATTCAGTTATCACCAAATCTGAATGAAGCAAGAGGACGTGCCAAAAACAGCTTTCAGGACGCATGAAGGGCATTACAAACTCGTTATGCGATTTAGTTTGGCCAATGCACCAGCCATATTCCAGGGGCTGATGAATGAGGTATTTAAACCGTTCTTACTGTTTTAGTTTTTTTGATGATATTTTGATTTACAGCAGGGGCATAGAAGAGCACAAATCTCACCTCATGCAGGTACTTGAGCTCTTGGCAAAACACTAGCTATATGCTAACCTCAAGAAATGTGAATTTGGGCAAAAACGACTGGAATACCTCGGACATATAGTTTCCGAAACAAGGGTGGAAGTGGACGATCGATGGTGGAGTGGCCATAGCCCAAGACAGTTACGAGGTTTTCTGGGGTTGACGGGATACTACTGCAAATTCATTATGGGTTATGGAAAATTGGCAACACCCTTACAGATCTCTTACGCAAAAATCGGTTTGCTTGCAGTGAAGGATCCAACAAGGCGTTTAATGCACTAAAATCTGCCTTGTCCACGGCCCGGTCCTATGCCTTTCTGATTTTACGGAGGGTTTTGTTATCGAAACAGATGCTTCTGGTTTTGGCCTAGGTGTTGTCCTCATGTAGCAAGAACAATTGATAGCGTATTTCAGTCGGACATTGGGAATGGAGGCAAGGCAAAATTCTATATATGAAAAGGAGCTAATGGCGATTGTATTCACGGTCCAAAAGTGGAGACCCTATTTACTTGGAAGAAAATTTGTGGTGCGCACCGACCAACAATCCTTGAATTTTTTGTTAGAGCAAAGAGTAATCGAACCCGATTACCAACATTGGGTGAGCAACTTATTGGGATACGAATTTGAAATAGTTTATAAAGTCGGGAGTAGTAACAAGGCAACAGATGCCTTGTCTAGGCAAGAGCACCGGATCGAATGCTCCACACTTGGAGGCCCGCAATGGCGTCAATGGGACACACTCCGGAAAGAGGCAGGTGACGACCCACTACTACTGTAGTCTAGGCTAGACAAGTCATGGATATTAATTGGCTCAGCATCCACCCACTCATCAACCTTTCTTAAGCTGGTGCGCAGGAGCGCACTTTCGGGTGTTGAGCAAGATTAAGGAGGTTCAGTCCAAAGTCATTGACCACCCTAGTTTTACGTACCTCAATGACCTTTTTTTAAGGACAAAATAGTCCTATCTAGGAAATACAAATTACTTCCATTACTACTCGATGAATTCCATGGATCCCCACTGGGGGGGCCACGCTGGTGAGGACCGTACTTACCAACGTATGGCATCTGGAGTTTTCTCGGTGGGGATGCGGAAAGATAGTGGAATAGGGATGCAAATGCATCGTGTGCCAACGAAATAAAAAATTTGTCGGGGTCACCAGAAGGGCTGTTGCAGCCTCTCTCTCTACCCGCTCGGGTTTGGGATGCCATCAACATGGATTTTGTGGAAGGTCGAACTCCCAAGGTAATAATGCTATATTAGTGGTTGTCGATCGACTTAGCAAATACGCACATTTCGTAGGCTTGAAGCATTCTTTATTGGTTCAATCTGTGGCTCCCTTATTTGCTCAAGAAATCATCCGGTTGCACGGGGTGCCAACTTCGGTAATCACGGACCGAGGGCAGCTCTTTCTCAGTGCATTCTGGAAGGAAATCTTTCGGCTACAGTGAACAAAACTCTCTTACAGTACCGCATACCACCCACAGACCGATGGTCAGGCGGAGGTGGTCAATAGAACCCTTGAGCAATATTTACGATGCATGGTTTCCGAACGGCCCAAACAGTGGTCCCAATGGTTGTGTTGGGCTGAGTTTTGGTATAACACCGCCAACCACATGGGTCTCAAATGCTCCACGTTTCACGTTTTGTACGGGAGAGAACCCCCTACCCTGCTTCGTTACTTTCGGATGGCATTGCTTTTTAATCGGTTGACCAAGTTCTACAAGAACGAGAGGAAATTTTGGATTCGGCAAGGCTACACTTGTTGAAGGCGCAACATAGCATGAAACAATAAGCAGACTTGGGTAGGAAGGATGTTACTTTGGATGTGGGGGACTTGGTATTTCTGAAATTACATCCCATTTTGACAACACTCTTTGCGCACGGGTCGCAACATGAAGCTCGCCCCACGTTTTATGGACCTTACCATATCCTGGCCAAGATTGGTCCAGTAGCATATAAACTGGAATTGTCTGCTTCCACGAACATCCACCTTGTGTTCCATGTCTCCCAATTACGACGTGCAATTGGTTTGTGTTCCTTGTCTCCTTTGATTCCTCCTCAACTCACGAGTGAAATGGTTCTGCTGGTGAACCATAAGACATATTGGATGTGCGTCAGTCGGGGCCACAAACCAACAACAACTTGGAGGTTTTGGTTAAATAGAAAGGATTACCAGAATTTGAGGCAACATGGGAAGATTATCAAGGGATCCACCACCAGTTTCGCAATTTTAACCTTGAGGACAAGGTAAGAGTTTTGGGGCGGGGTATTGATAAACCCCCCATTCGGTTTATTTAGATACGCAGGGGCAAGAAGTAATTCTATCAGATAAGGAAGGGCCACATTGGTATTTTGAGATTATTTATTATTTTAGTTAAGGTGAGTCATCATTGTTAGTGGTGGGGCCAAGGGAATCTTTTCCTTTTTGGGAAGAGTAGTAGTACTATAAATAGCTTTTGTTAGTAAGGAAAGGATTACGTTTTTCTTCTTGAACCGAAGGCGGCGAGCTCCAAACTGGGAGAAAACCGGCTTCTCTAATTGCCAGGATCGTAATCAATCGTTGAGTGATAATAGAAAAATCACAATCCTTGAATATCAGGTTAATTGAACTAGATGTTGGAGTTGGTTTTGATGCTTCTGTTGCTAGAGGCAGCGGATGACAAAAACTCTTACTTGAAGTTTTGAACCCCGGGGTACAGTATAGTGGTGGTTTACCCATTTAGTTTTTTTTTGCCAGCATTGACATGCCTACTTTGGAGTGGGGTGGCTATTGTTGATGACCAGCTACTGTGTTTTCTTTAGACTGGAGGTGCCAAGTCTGCTGCTTAAATTCTAATATCGTCATGTGCCCTATGAAAGAAGGAAGAAGACTAGAAAATTGTTTGAAACTGGGTGAGAGTGAGGCATATAGGACTCGTTTGTTGCTGTCTCTTATAATCTTCATTTTTCACTTGGTTACCATGTATACCCTTAACCAGGAGTGATTTTCAGTTGCCATCAGTTAGTGTACATGCTTTCCTCTTGTGTGTAGTAAAAGAAGGATGTAGACTGGAGAATTGTTTGAAACTGGCTGAGGTGTACAGCAATTGTTTATCGCTGTTGTCTTATCATCAAAATCTCTTGCTTAACATTGATTACCAAGCATATCCTTAAGCAAAGTGATTTTTAGTGGTCATCAGTTATTGTGTATGCTTCACAACTTTTGGTTGATATTATGTTGCTTATGCTGCCCCTCTTCGTCTCCAACTAACTGAAAGAAAAAGAAACAACTAGAACCTCTCTGGGGGAGGGGGCGGGGTAGAAGAAAATTTGAATTCAATATTTTTGGCTAGATTTTGCCTATTGTAGTGCCTTTTTCATTATCTCATTCCTTGGTTGGCATTGGTTGTTATGTCTATGCGCGAGCAGAGTGCTTCTCAACATTAATGAGCCTGCTTATTAACTCTAAGGTGATAGGCATAAGATGTGCATCAAGTTGTCAACATTTACTGATTTTCTTGAATGTGAGTATAGTGGGCACTAAGTCTTTGCTATTTCTGTTAGATTTTCTTATAATATTGTTTCTCCTTTAGGCTGGCCTATCATGCATGCTCGTTTTTCTTTATGTGGTTTGAATTGATTCATCATACACATTTAGAGCTTTTGAAAACTAATATACTTAAACCGTTATGTTTCAGATACAAAGGCTTGGGAAGTAGACACTCTAAGAGGTCACGTGAACAATGTGTCAAGTGTTCTTTTCCATGCCAGGCAGGACATTATTGTGTCAAATTCTGAGGATAAAAGTATACGTGTCTGGGATGCTACAAAGAGGACAGGCCTTCAAACGTTTCGCAGGGAGCATGACAGGTTCTGGATTCTTGGGTGTCATCCTGAGATGAACCTTCTGGCAGCTGGCCATGATAGTGGCATGATAGTTTTCAAGTTGGAGAGGGAACGCCCTGCTTTCTCTGTCAGTGGTGATTCTCTTTACTATGTCAAAGACCGTTTTCTGCGTTTTTATGAGTATTCAACTCAGAAAGAGACTCAAATCATACCAATCCGTAGGCCTGGTTCAGTTAGCTTGAACCAGGGGCCTAGAACTCTTTCTTATAGCCCTACAGAAAATGCAGTTTTAATATGTTCAGAAGTAGATGGGGGATCATATGAACTCTATGTTGTACCTAAAGATAACTTTAGTAGAGGTGATACAGTTCAAGAAGCAAAAAGAGGGGTTGGGGGATCTGCAGTCTTTGTTGCCCGCAATAGATTTGCTGTTCTTGAGAAGGGCACCAATCAAGTGTTGGTCAAGAACTTGAAAAATGAGATTGTAAAGAAGAGTGCCCTTCCGGTTGCTACTGATGCAATATTCTATGCTGGCACAGGTAACTTGCTATGCAGGGCAGAGGACAGGGTAGTTATCTTTGACCTTCAACAGCGAATGGTTCTTGGGGACCTTCAAACCTCTTTTATAAGGTATGTTGTTTGGTCAAACGACATGGAGAATGTTGCTTTGCTCAGCAAGCATTCTATAATCATAGCTGATAAGAAACTTGTCCATCGCTGCACCCTTCATGAGACGATCCGTGTCAAGAGTGGATCCTGGGATGATAATGGTGTATTCATATACACAACCCTAACACACATCAAGTACTGCCTACCCAATGGAGACAGTGGAATCATAAAGACTCTTGACGTTCCTTTGTACATCACAAAGATATATAGAAATACAATCTTTTGCCTTGATCGGGATGGGAAAAACCGTCCAATAGTCATTGATTCCACTGAATATATCTTTAAGCTGTCTTTGCTGAGAAAGAGATATGATCATGTTATGAGCATGATAAGGAATTCAGAGCTGTGTGGGCAAGCCATGATTGCATATCTCCAGCAAAAAGGTTTTCCTGAGGTTGCTCTCCATTTTGTGAAGGATGAGAGAACTCGTTTTAATTTAGCACTTGAAAGTGGAAATATACAGATAGCCGTTGCTTCTGCCAAAGAGATTGATGAGAAAGATCACTGGTATAGGTTGGGGGTGGAGGCCCTACGCCAGGGTAATGCTGGAATTGTAGAATATGCATACCAGAGGACGAAGAACTTTGAGAGATTATCCTTCCTCTATCTGATTACAGGCAATTTAGATAAACTGTCCAAAATGATGAAAATTGCAGAGGTTAAAAATGATGTTATGGGTCAGTTCCATAATGCCCTGTACCTGGGTGATGTCAAAGAGCGAATTAAGATTTTGGAGAATGCTGGTCATCTGCCACTAGCATATGCTACAGCCAAGACCCATGGGTTGACTGATCTCGCTGAAGGACTTGCTGCTAAACTTGAGGATAATGTTCCTTCTTTGCCCAGTGGTAGGTCTGCTTCTCTTTTGATGCCCCCAACTCCTGTCTTGTGTGGTGGAGACTGGCCGTTACTGAGGGTCATGAAAGGGATCTTTGAGGGTGGTCTTGACAATGTTGGAGCAGCTGCACAGGAAGAGTATGAAGATGCCGCAGATGCTGATTGGGGTGAGGATTTGGATATTGTGGATGTGGAGAACATTCAAAATGGAGATATCAGTATGGTTCTGGAGGATGAAGAAGCACATGAAGATAATGAAGAAGGAGGTTGGGACCTTGAAGATCTAGAACTTCCTCCTGATGTTGAGACCCCCAAAACTACTACTGCTTCTCGCTCTTCGGTATTTGTGGCACCAACTGCTGGTATGCCTGTGAGCCAGATTTGGGTTCAAAAATCATCTCTTGCTGCTGAACATGCAGCAGCAGGCAACTTTGACACTGCGATGCGCTTGCTGAGCCGGCAGCTGGGAATAAAGAACTTTGCACCCTTAAAGTCATCATTTATTGATCTTCACATAGGCAGTCATACTTACTTGCGAGCTTTCTCATCAGCTCCAGTGCTCTCCTTGGCTATAGAAAGAGGTTGGAGTGAATCAGCGAGCCCAAATGTTCGGGCCCCTCCTGCACTTGTGTTTAATTTTTCTCAATTGGAAGAAAAGCTCAAGGCTGGTTACAGAGCTACAACTACGGGGAAATTTACTGAAGCTTTGCGGCTTTTTCTGGGTATTCTCCATACCATTCCCCTGGTAGTAGTTGAGTCGCGAAGAGAGGTGGATGAAGTTAAAGAGTTGATTATCATCGTAAAAGAATATGTTCTGGGTTTACAGATGGAACTTAAAAGGAGAGAACTGAAGGATGACCCTGTTCGTCAGCAGGAGTTGGCGGCTTACTTCACTCATTGTAACCTTCAGCTGCCTCACTTGAGACTTGCCTTGATGAATGCTATGACTGTGTGCTACAAGGCAGGCAATCTCATCACAGCATCAAACTTTGCCAGGCGACTCTTGGAGACCAACCCAACTGCTGAAAACCAAATCAAAACATCCCGCTCGGTTATGCAAGCTGCTGAGAGGAACATGAAAGATTCCTCACAGCTGAATTACGACTTCAGAAATCCATTTGTTGTTTGTGGGGCAACTTATGTTCCTATTTACCGTGGACAGAAGGATGTATTGTGCCCATACTGCAGTTCACATTTTGTTCTTTCACAGGAAGGGCAGCTTTGTACTGTTTGTGATCTTGCAGCAGTTGGATCAGATGCATCTGGTTTACTCTGTTCTGCAGCACAAATCAGATGATTTAACTTTTTTCATGATACTATTGCCAGCATCAGTTCTTTCTATTATCAGGTAATCCTCTCTCTCTCCCCCTCTACAATGCACATACTTAGGCCTTCTTCTCCTGCTTGGCTTTTTATCATTATTGAATCTGTTTAAGATGATCAACTTGCCTATGTTATGTTCGAGATGTGTGTTTATTATCTTTTGTTAGTCTTTTGGTTTTAATGTGCTTGCAACTCTTTGGGGCCATTAACCAAGCTTACCAGCAAGAGTGACCACACTCACTTACCTTGTTGGGTAACATACTTTAGCCATCAAAATGGATTTTCTTGTAAGCGTCTCTTACCCAGTAAGCACTAACCGGTAAGCATCCAGGTTGGGGGTACCGGGGATCGCAATCCCCATCCCTGTCAAGGAATATGATTTCATCCCCATCCCCATCGGGGGATTTTTCCCCGTGTACACAATTTAATTTTTTACATAACGTTTTTATGTATTATGTATATAAATGCCAAGCTTAAACAACATATATTCCTAAAATATTTATCACCCAAATTTTAATTGTTGCATTTGTATGAATAACATCAAAAAATGTAGTTCAAACACAAATATATTAATTACAATGCTTAATAATTAAAATTGTATATAACCACGTCACTATATCAACAAAAGTTTCCCATGAACAACCAAATCGATAATGTAATTTCTTTTACAAGTTTTCATGATGGAAGATTGATTATATTTATATATTATATATACTCATTGGGTTTCTTATTTTATTATTACTTATTGTATATATGTGTGTACATAGTAATGTATAATTAATACTCAGGATCCGGGTCGGGGATGAAGGGTATCCCTTCCCCATCCCCGGTTTATAAATTTGGCGGGTCAAACCGGGTTCAGGTATCGGGTTTCTCGTCAGGTGTGGGGTGTTTTGCCATTCCTACTTACCAGGGAAAGATTCTCGGTTGTTGCCATCTCACCCAGTAAGGTAAATGACCCGGTAAGCGTTGGTAAACGACCCTTAACATAGATGATAGGTCCTGTAGTTGTTATATGTTGCAGTCCCCTTATGTGCATGTAGAGGTTATTGTGGTTTCCTTGGTGTGATTATAATTAATTGTTTTGGTTAGAAGCATATGGGCCCAATATGTTTGAAAACGATAATGTTTACTTGAAACAAATAAGCATCTTGCAATTTGGAAACCGTTGAATAGATTTTAAACTTCAGATCTAATTACCGGGATTGAAACATCAAAGTTTCCTTCTTTTTTGTTGTTTTCTTACACGGCTAATATGAACCTTAATTTTGGTTATTTAACAAATGAGTAACATTTATAACTATTAACTTGACACTTGGTGGTTAAACAACCGTTGTACTTGCTAAATACCCAAAAAAAGCACTCAAGTTGGCAAGAACTAACTGAACAATTACTTAACAGAAGGTATCATTGGCGGATTTTGTCTAGTGGCATCAAGAGTGGATGGATGGACTGTATCAACACACTTTTTAAATGGATAAAAATACTCGAGTTGGAAAGAAATAGCAAAAATGGACGATCGCTGAACAAGCACTAACATCATCAACAAAATTTTCCTATCTAGCAAAAAACAATGTTGAAATTTATGTATTATCGGACTATAGCACTAGAAAGATATGTGCTCGCACTTGACTTGTCTTCTTCCTTTTTCTTTCGGATGTTTTTAGTCTTGTGCCTTAACGTGTATTCTTAAAAAACTTTTGAATCATATGAAGAGAAAATGGGGAGTTCATAAATTTCTTGAATAAAGAGACGCATGAAGAACGTACAGGGAAAATAAATTTTAGCAAAAACACCCCAAACCGCCTTAATTATTCTTTTTTGTGCATAGCAAAATATCATTTGCTTTATTTACAAGTCTTTCAGAGTATGCATGCTTTCACTTTATTGGAAGAGATGAAAATTCTTTTCATGGTAATAGCATCCTCAAGAAAATTGTTTTCATTGTTATGTTAGAGCCACTTATGGTGAAGCCACAAAAAAATTATGGAGAAGTTGGGAAAATAGTTAAAAGTCCCCTAAAGAATATGAACAAAGAAGGGGCAAAATTGTAAATGTATCCCTAAAATGGTGGGTTGTCATCTTGCTAATTTAAGGGCATCATGATTATCTAAGAGTGTTTGAGTTTGATGATAAAAATATTTCATTCGCTTTTAGTGCCATGCAGGTTGAATGTGCTAGGCATTAATGCCCGTTAAGTATCCTTCATCTTTTGTTGCTTTTTATTGCCGATTAAGTGTTTTTTTGGCCACTTGGTAAGTATCTTGGTTCATGTTGTCAAGTTTAGTTTACGAAACGCTTACCAGGTAAGCGCTTACTAGATCACTTACCTTACCGGGTGAACACGGCAAGGACGGAGAATCTCATTCGGTAAGAGGTACGGCAAGGACCAAGAATCTTACAGGGTGAGTGAGGGTGGCGACTCTTACCCAGTTAACGCTTATTGAGACGCTTACCAACGATCTTACAATGCCATTTTGATGGCGGAGATCCGGTTAGCATTTGGTAAACGCCCTCTTAGTCATCATGAAAGATGAACAACGTGGAATTAGCGAGACGGGAGCGAGGGAGAGAGAGGAGGCGAGAAGGCTCTTCCTCATGCATCTGAGGAGACACAAATTAGGCCGAATAAGTGTAAATAGAGAGAGAGAGACCATATTAGTTCAAGTACATTACTTCTGCTAAATAGCACATGTCCACAACCAAATTTTGGGATGCATAATTCTTATTTGAAGCATGTTGTTATTGTGCTAAAAGGCTTGTATCTTATGGATTCAATCTCTTTCGGTAATTACATCATATATGCATGGTTCGTCTCCCAATCAGAGTGCAATACGAGCTGCAACTTTTTGAACATTTTGCACTTGCTACAAGCTGGTGGACTTATCTTCCTGTTGAAACCAAACAGACCCAATATTCTTCCCCTCAAAAGTAGGGTCTAAGGGTGGGATATATGCAGAGTTATCCATTACCCCAAAGAGTAGAGCAGTTGTTTGACTGTTTCCGTGGAGACCTTTGAATTGTGATAAGTGTGAGCAAAAAGGTAAAAGCATTTAAGGAACAAAACTAAACACATAGTAAGCATAGAAAAAGAAAAATGAGTAAGAAAAAGCAACGACCAGGTACATTGAAACATAGAAAAGGAGTATAATTGTCTAAGGCTGCATGTCTCTCGTCAGTTGCTCATTCCACGTCCTCCTGCCCTTCCTCTTTGTCTCCTTTACCATCAACCTATGCTTTCTAGTCTCCTCGCTGGTGCCGCCACCTGCCCGAACACTGCAATCTTCACTCAATTTATGTGTGATGACACACTCTCAACTCTGTCCAGAACAGCTTATTCAGAATCCTGTCTAACATGATCTGGCCATAGGTCAATCTAAGAATCCTCATTTCCTCAACTTTCAACTTCCTCCCATGGGCATTCCTTGTCGCCCAAGCATTCTGGCCCAACATGATACAACATACTTCTTCTGATGACTACTCCGTAGAAATTGCCATTCAATTTCAATGGGACTTTAGTGTCACACACCATTCCCGTGGCCACTCTCCACTTCAATCACCCGTTTTTATGCGATGCATTATGTCTACCTTCATTTTCGTAACCTTGGAGCCTAAATACTTGAAAATGTTTTTTGGGTATCATTTGCCCCTCAATGTTGACTTCTACCCCTCATCAATGTGCTCCCCAAAGAATTTGTATCATATGTATTTTGTCTTGGAGCGACTAATATGCAAACCTCATGTTTCCAGAACCACCCTTCATTGCCCTAACATCTCGTTGACCTCTACTTTTGAGTTTGTCATCAACGAATAACATACACCATGAGACACTCCTCTATGTCCCTCGGGAGATATCCAAAATCACAACTAAAATGAATAGGCTTGGTGTTGATTATCTCCATCGGGAAATACTTTGTCACCCACTGGTGTCCTGGCACAAGTTCTGATTCTCTTGTACATGTCTTGTATTGCCATGACATACGTTTATGACATCCCCTTTTTTTTGCACTCATTCAAATTACATCGCACGGTATACTATTATAGGACTTGTCTAGGTCTATGACCACCATGTGTAGGCCTTACTACACTCTTTATACTTCTCCATGAGTCACCTTAAGAGATGGATTGCCTTGATCGTCGACTGACCTTGCATGAAACCATTTGGTTCTCTGTCACCTCCATTTCGTGTGCCCTAAGGGCGTGTTTGGTTTGCTGGATTTGAAGGGATTTGGAGGGATTTGGATTTGAAATCCATTCCAATCCCACGTTTGGTTTGTAGGAATGATAGGATTTCAAATCCTGGGATTCACTTGAAATCCCGTGAACCATGGATTTCAAAATTCTTTGAAAATACATGGGATTTCAAAATCCCATCCTCGTGGGATTTCATCTTCTCCATCTTCTCGCCTCCATCTTCTCCCATCGATTGCTTCACCCATCGCTTCCCTCCCATACGCCTCCCGCTTCCTTCACCCATCGCTTCCCTCCCATCGATTGCTTCACCCACGCCGGTTCTGACTTCCTTGCGAAGCTGTGCCCTAGGTTTGCCTCCTCACTGGTGCTGTCTTCCTCGCCGGTGCTGACTTCCTCGCCGGTGCTGTCTTCCTTCCCGTCGCATCCCTTGCGAAGTTGTGCCCTAGGTTTGCCTCCTCGCCGGTGCTGTCTTCCTCGCCGGTGCTGTCTTCCTTCCTGTTTGCCGGCGTCTCCCATCACTCACAGCAGGTAATCGATTAACCCCTTTTCTATAGCATTAGAAATGCTCGATTTTGGTCTGCTTGAATAGAAAATGCACAAGGGTTCTGCCCTAATTTCCTGTAATCAAATCCAAATCCTGCAAACCAAACWCARGAATGGATTTTAAATCCAATCCAATCCAAATCCCATGGAATCCAAATCCCTCCAGGAATCCAAATCCCTCAAAAACATTCCCGCAAACCAAACGCACCCTAAGTAGTTAACGTGGTTGATAGCGAAAATCGCAGGCGGGACCGTGATTTGGAATCGTGGTTATCGCGGTGATAAAGCGGTGTTATAGCGGTAAAAAAATTAGGTTATAAAAAATACGAATGTTTATATATAAGAAAACTTAATAACATTGTAGGGGTTAAATCAAAGGAGAACCACAAATATGTTACAAACCCGTGGGAACCGATACAAAAATATTTTTTACATGATATTTTTTCATCAAATGCCAGGATTTAAGATATTGTTTCACACATATTTGTTTCATAATATGATAGTTTTACATGTATTTGTTTCACCATGTGAATATTTTTTACACGTATTTTTCATTTAACTAGGTGAACCAATTTTTTTTTCCACATGTAATCTTTTCACAAGGTGAACACAAACATATGTGAAACAATATCTTAAATTATAAGTTTTGATGAAAAAAAAGTCATGTAAAATAATACTTTTATGTCGGTTCTCACGGGTTTGCAACATATATTTGGTTCTCATTTGATTATCGTCCTAATATTGTGCGCCCAATACATATCAATAGCAAATCAAACCACAAAACCATTGAAGGTGGTGGCTGGTAAAAAGGAAGAGTGAAGCTGGTGCTAGCTGAAGTCGAGGGTGGTGGCTGGTACAAAAGAAGAGTGAAGTTGGTGCTAGCTGAAGTCATGGCCGTTGGAGCCAATGGCCTGGTGCAACTGAAAGTTGGGAGAAATCAAGAAAAAGGGAGTATGATCTGTTATGAGTGATGAGAGTCGAAGCTTGGAGCCTTGGATGAAAGGGGCGATTTAAATTAGGTCAACTAAAAGTCTAAAAGAGTTTGTTGCTTTAAGCCTTATGTTAGGCCAACTAGAACTAAAAGAAGCCCATCAAATATTAAACCAAAGCTCACCAAATGCTGAAAAACCTAAAGCCCCAAACACAAAAACGACCAAAATTCCGCTAAATGCAGTACAACTATAAACCACCGCTGTTTTAGGACCGCTATTCCTTTGATGACTGCAATCCGCTATTGCACCATCATTAACTGCATAGGCCGCACCCTGGTCTCGATTAGTCTCATAATATTATTGTGTGGCTAAGTAGCTTTATACCATTGTAGTTGCCACAACATTGTGCATCGCTTTTGTTCATATAGAGTGGCACCATCATACTAAGTCTTTACTCTTCAGGCATCTTGACAGTCTTGAGGGTGGCATTGAACAGCTTTGTTCGCCACTGCATACCCTCCTCCCCTAGATATAGCCACACCTCAATGGGGATTTTGTCCAGACCTACGGCCTTACCCTTCCCCATCTTCCTCAGTGCCTCCATTTCCCCTATGCTTAAGTCACCAACAAAAGCATTGATTGCACAGCCGTTGAAGCCCCCCTACCCTGCTGAAGTGCAAATCCAACATTCAACTCCAGAGTTTATGCAAATCTTATTGCTCTTTATATATATGTGTGTGCGTGCGTGCGCTAAGCTTTGTGTTTTGTTGCTCACAACTGATTAAGCACTGTTAGCTTTGGGTTCTCTTGATTCTTGTGTTGGAAAGTAGATTGCAAAATGCATATCACTTGTTTAGTTGTAGAAAGACAACTATTTGAAACCCAACAGATACCCAAGTTGGCAGAAAATGCTACTTGAATTTGAAATTGTAGTTGAAGCTTGAAGAATAGCTAAATACTTGAGACATTCCAATAGTAGGAGAGGCTATATATTTCATTGAAATGTGTAACCTTTAATGCTAAAACCTTGATATCTTCTATATAATTGTAGTGAAGAAGGATACTGCCAAATGCGGAAATTGTGGTGACTCCATCTGATAGTAATATTGGAGATTCTTATAGGTTGGACGCTGTGTGTATACAAAGACGGGGGCACAAGTTTAGTGCATAAAAGAACCTCAGTGGTTCAC